CTGTCTGCTGCATTTGCTGCTGCTCCTACTGCCGTTGTTGCTGCTGCTGCAGGTGGCCAGCAGATGAGGGCCCCCCACAGCAACAGCAGCAGCAGCAGCAGCAGCAAAAACAGTACGGCTTAATATCTCCGCCGAAACCCTCTGCCCCAGACCGCCGGCTTCGCTTCTGGACCCGCACTGAGGTCACGCTAAACCCTAAACCCTAAACCCTAGCCCCCGAAACCCTGAGCCCTAAACCCTTAAGCCCAGGACCCAAGGCCCTAAACCCTAAACCCCTAATTGAGCTCTTTGCAAGGTGTTTCTGTACGGCTGGTTGTTTAGGGTTTAAGCTGGCTGCTTAGGGTCTAGGGTTGAGGCCCTAGGGTTTAGGGTTTAGGGTTTAGGGTTTAGGGTTCAGGCTGTTTCTCCTTCAGGAGGCGCTTTTGCTGGAAGGCGTCAAGAGGTTTGGCAAGGGCAGCTGGAGGGAAATTCAGCAGGTGATAAACCCTAAACCCTAAACCCTAAACCCTCGTGATTAGATGCTGTCGGCGTCAGCGCCAGACCACACAGCGTTTGCATCGGCTCAGGAGAGGAGGGTCTAGGGTTTACAGAGGCTATATTTGCGGCCAAGAGTTCACTACTGTAGGCCTTAGGGTTAAGGGTTTAGGGTTTAGGGTTTAGGGTTTAGGGCTTGTCTTGTGTATACAGGAGCACCCACAACTGCGCCAGTTCAGCAACGTGCAGCTCAAAGACAAATTTAGAAATCTGCAAAGACATTTGCAGGCTTCTGAATTCTAAAATTGAGGGTTTAGGGTTTAGGGTTTGGGTTTAGGGGCCGAGAACTTGACCCTTGGACAACAGCAGCAACGCCTACAGCGGCAGCAGCAGCACCGTCCCCTTAAACGTGACGACAGCAGCAGCAACAGCAGCAGCAGCTGCTGCAGCTGTAGCACAAGAAACCCAGGCAGCAGAAGCTGCAGCAGCAAAAGCTGCAGCTGCAGCACACGCAGCAACAGAGGCAGCTGCAGCAGCAGGGTCATCAGCAGCAGAAGCTGCTCCAGCAGAAGCTGCGGCTGGAGCAGCGGAAGCTACAGCTGCAGCAGCAGAAGCTGCAGCTGCAGCAGCAGAAGCTGCAGCTGCAGCAGCAAAGGCTGCAGCTGAAGCAGCAGAAGCTGCAGCTGAAGCAGCAGAAGCTGCAGCTGCTGCAGCAAAGGCTGCAGCTGAAGCAGCAGAAGCTCAGCTGCAGCAGCAAGAGCTGCAGCTGCAGCAGCAGAAGCTGCAGCCGCAGCAGTGGAAGCTGCAGCAGAAGCAGCAGAAGTATCAGCGGCAGAAGCTGCACCTGCAGCAGAGCAAGCTGCAGCTGCAGCACCAGAAACTCAGGCAGCAGAAGCTGCAGCAGCAGAAGCTGCAGCAGCAAAAGCTGCAGCAGCAGAAGCTGCAGCTGCCGCTGGAACAGCACAAGCTGCAGCTGCAGCAGCAGAAGCTACAGCTGCAGCAGCGGAAGCTGCAGCTGCAGCAGCAGAAGCTGCAGCTGCAGCAGCAGAAGCTGCAGCTGCAGCAGCGGAAGCTGC